CACTTATCACCAAACAACTAACTGCAGTTCAGCCCATATAGATACTTAACGTCAGCTCAGCAGCTCAGAAACTGAGCCCAAGTCTTAATGAACTTGAAGCAAAGAAAGGATGGCAGGTGTAGAGTTCAAGCTGATAGGTAGGTTTAAAAGACTGAACTAGTGGGGATGTTTACATGAATATTTCAAGTGTTCATGTAATATTTTAAGGTCTACTACAAGTGCCTATCGTCGCTGTCCAATGAAAACCATGTATCTGCATTTTTGTTGATTTTTATTTTTCATCACTCCAGCTGTCCTTTACACCGTGTGAAAATTTCATGATGAATGGACCAATAGAAAAGCTCTAAAATCACTTGGAATAAAATCTCTTTACATTAACTTACATTTAAAGGTAAGAGTGTTTTTGGTCTCTCCTGTAAAGTTACTATTTTGGAGATCCTTGTTTTGCTGTTTTGGACAGCGATGCTGTATTTTAGTGTTGAAGTTTTTGCGTATCTTGAATAAACAATGGTCAGTTTGGTTTTTATAGCAAAATGTTATTTAAAAATGAAATAAAACATAGTTAACTGGCCCACAGATCTGTTGTTATTTTTTAATATGGCCCTTTTGGTGGTTGAACTGGACTATTAGTCTGTCTATACACAGTAATCATTTTTGCACCAAAGTGGAAAATACTTTGTAACTATACTGAAATAATGTTTTGGAAGATCCTTTACTCTAAAAACTGAATATAATATAAGTCCTCTTACTCACTTACAGCTCCAAGACAAGAAGTAGTATTAGTATCAGTAGTAGTAAGGTTATTATTATACATATTAAAGACATATATTATTATTATAACATTAAATTCATATCAGCGTAAACTAAAACCTCCCACGGCGATGCTTGTCTTTGTGTGAGGAGCAGCACTGCCTACTACTCACACCGCAGGACAGAGAGTTTCAGCAGGACAGACTGAGTGAGGAACTCACAACGCGCTGGTTATGACACACATTATCACATTATCACATTATCACATTATGCATGCACGCCAAGTTTATCTAGTGTTTTAAGTTTATTTAGATTTTACACAAGACTTATTCTGAAGTTACTTTAAAGTTAACAGTGCAAAATATACAAAAATACATGTAAATATATTTAAAGTCTGTTTTGAAATATTTATGCTAAATATATTTAACTAACATTTTTTAATATTTAAATATATGCCAGATTAGGCACATGTATGTATGTATGTATATATATTACAATATATGCACCTATATAGACAAAATATGCTGTTGCTGTCTTGCCGATCTCCTAAAATATGATATCACTTTACAGGAGGAGGCAAAAACCAGCTTAAATTTAAATGGAAGTCAATGCAACAATATTTTTGTAAGTTGTTTTGGACAGTGTCTACTATAAAATCCGTCATTCATCAGTTTTGTCACTATTCCGGAGTTACACAATTAAGCGCAGCGAGCGCAACATACAAACAGCGCAAAACACGCTAAGTTTAGCCTGTTGAGCCGACAGCTTAATGCCCTGTTTAGCTGAATGATGTCAGAGATGTTTGTCATGTTTAAGCTAAAAAAGGTTCCAGCACCAGTTTGTTGTTGAGAGAACGGACATCAGAGAGAAAAATGTAAAGATACAACAACCTAGCATGGACACCAGTCTACTTGCTCGGTCAGGAGCCTCATGGCCTGGACCCACAGTGTGAATCACTGATTGACCTCCAGCAGTGTCTGACTTTCATGTATGTAAATATGAGTGTATGGGATGCAGTTGTGAGACAAATTACTTGAGAAATTTGAATGTGAATCATTTAGAACTGTCTTTGTGAAGCTCTGAGAAGCCACTGAGTGCTTAGCATAGGTTTATTCATATATCGCTCAGTTCTATTTTCCTATTGCATATTAAACATAATTGTTAAATGTGGTTCTTATTAAAACTAGATCTATATATACACCAGACCTTTTTCCAGGTCATTTATGGTCATTTCTTTTAGTCCATTCATCATGAAATTTACAAACAATGTAAAGGGCAACAGGTATTTTCAAATTATGTCAAAAACTGAAAAACATCAAAACTGGAGATACGAGGTTTTCTTTCAACAACAGCGATATGTATATATACATATATCATGCTATTGTGTATTTATATAGACACTTTCTTAATTGCCTTTAATTGAGTAAAATCTCAAAAAAAAAACTGTATAAAAAACTAATTTTACTCCCTTCCTTTGCATATAAGATAATCAATAGGATTCTGTTATTGTCCTCCTAAAAGCATCAGAGCACTTCTAAATCAACTAGCACGAAAAGGCTTTAAAGCAGTCGAGATGAAGGGATTCTCTAACAAGTACTGAATGCTTAGATGTAATTACGGCATAGCTGTCCACAACATAAACCTAATACTGGTGTAAAGTCAAGCCCAGTGGAAACTTTTGTGGGTCACTCGTTTGACCAAAACCACTGATAACACCAGTTAACGCCACTCAAGTTTTCCGAAGCCCAAGAGCAACCCGCAAAAACAAAAACCACACAGCCAAAGGCTGTGAAATAGAGATAAATGTAACAGAAATCTGTCGACCTGCAGAGTTCACTGAAAAAGCCTCCTTTATTGGATAATTTTGAGCAGAAAGGAAATCAAAGAAAAATGCTGTGACATATAACAGATAAGGAACCTCTTACTGTGGAAATAACCTCATTACAGCTGTGGAAAATTACCTGTGTCTGAAAATAATTTGCACTGCCTGATCTGAAGGTGCCAAGTCACTCACAACACTCAGTCCTGAGTAAGATAAAATCTTTTGAAAGATGACCATGCAGTGCCGTTTTCCTTTACCTCTCTTTCTTCATCTCTGCATCGCTTTCTGTGATAAACATGCTCTGAAGGAAAGTATCTGCACTAGCATAGCTCAGTTATGAGGAACTGCCTGAATAAAGTAACAAGAAAAATACGCTTCACCACACTGAGAAAAGAATGACCCCCCGATAAAGAGATGAGCGCTCAAGCCAGGAGTGTGGAAAGTTCAAATGCTTTGAATTCTTGCACGCAGGACTATTTTTAGGGAAAAGCGAGAAACTGAGGAAAAAGTACTGTCATTCAGGAAATACTTTAAAACTCCAGGATCTGTTTTTCACAAACCTTCCCTGACTCTGCTTTCGTGCCCATTGGTAAACAGCCCCAGGTGTGGACATGATTAACTGCTATTAACTGGATGTTAATAACTACAGCACTTTCAGGAACTAAGGCACCAGGTAAACACCTGTATGACTAATGACACGAGCCGAAATGGATGGAAAAGCTCTTGTGCGAAAATCTAAACATTCTCAATCTACAAAATCCACAAAATCCAACACTTCACCCTAAAAAGTGACTCTGTGAATGGCTTGCTTACAGGAACACGTGGGGCAGAGATTGCATCACTTTTCAAGGCTACTGAGTGATCTCGGCCTTGTGGGCACTCGGCGTGTATACACAACCTTTTATGAGCACTGCGGCCCTCATTGAGAGCATAATGGGATGTTTCTTGGTGTTTTCATGAAACGAACGTCCCATGATAGGCCTTCTGGCGGAGGTCCGATGTGGCGTGCAGGGCTGTATTATTCCACTGCTCGCGATGCGGCTGAAGGACCGCGCGATTGCCATCTCTAAACAACAGAGCTCTCTGTGACAGCAGCAACATGTGAACCACAGATTCTCTCAACAGTCCGGCCAATGAGACGTGCCCCGGAGAACGTGGGCTCGACTCATTCGCGACAGGCTTGCACTGGTGATAAAATTCAATATCACAATGCTCTCCAAATATATAAAGGTATCAGGCAATATCTCACCATTTTTCATCAATATTACATATGTAAACTACGAATATGTGAAATTTCACAGGTCATTTTAAAGATTGAAAAAGTGGCTATATTTGCTTTGTTAGTGATCATGACCCCTGGTTCCTATAACCACCACTGTAAAGAAAATCAGAGTCGGTGAGTTTCTCTATACTGCACTATTTCCCGTTAAACCATTCTGAATGACTTTGCTTATATACCACTTATTGAATTATGCAGAAATTTTGAAAAGTCGGTGGAGTTGCCCTTGAATAGGACAGCATTAATAAAATTACTGGCCTACTATTAATGTCTTATAAACCTGACATAGCTTGTTTTCACTGGGCTGTTGAATAATTCCTTCAAAACAATCTGAAGCACCCAGTAACTGACACATGTTGCCGTTAACTTCCAGGTCCTACATACCAGTAAAGTCCAGAAAATAAAATAAAAAAACTAAAACGAAGTGCTTGACAACAGGGACACCTTCATTATGTATACTTATGTATTTATTTTTTGAAAAAGTATCACTAAAACTGAAAAGCAATATCAGTGCATGTCTATATCAGGGTGTTCCAGTCTAGACGATACATAGCCCAGCATTACACACAACTATACAACAGACCTGCTGAACGCTACAGCTGCTAAATAGGAAACGTACTAATGGCCACAACACATGCACTTTCTTCTTTAGCAACTGGATGATTTGTTGGCAAATTACCCATAAAATAGGTTATATGAGACCCAGGCCCACTTGTTAACCTTGTACTGAGCTATTTGTTCTTGGATCCGCCTTTGTGCTCCACTTAAAGGGCGGCCAGCAAAAGTCCGGGAGAAAAGTCCCCGCAGTCTGTCAGCGGGACACAGAAGTACCTTTGTATGTGAGAATGTCAAGCGTTACTCAAGGAGAATACTGACTAGACAGAAACAGGAAAGCTCAGCTTCAGTGCAGATGCAGTGAAGCAAAGCTTATATCAACATGCTAGCCTTTAATGGAGGAAATGAACTGAATTCTCACTCTTAAATAAGACTCATGCAGGAAAGAAGCCCTGGCCAGCTGAAAATATAATGTAAGTCCATTTTCTGTCGGAAAATAAAGATAAACATATAGTACGACGATAGTATGACACCTTGCTTGGCTTAGGTGTTAAAACCAACCCTGCAGCAGAAAAACATCAGAGCTGGACTCACCGCTTTCTGCTGAGTCTGCAAGAAGGCTGGCGTGCGCTCCGGGTCACTGGAGATGTCGTCCTCCGATTCCTCCCAGGAGGAGGAGAAACCTGTGGAGGAGGCCGACGAGGAGGAGAGTTTCCGCTGGGCTCGGGAGATCCGCGGGCTGACCTCAGGCTCCTGGCCCTCCCCGCCAGCCTCCATGCCGTGGTCCGTCACTATGACTGCAGGGATTGCGGACACCTCCAGGCAGCTGCCCTCCACCTCAGCCTGAGGCAGTGCTTCCGCTGGCTCAGCCCCGGCCTCCGTCAAGCACGTCTCAGTCCATGTCTCCAATTGCTCAGAGGTGGCCAAGTCATTGCTAACCTCTTGCGAGGTGCTGGAGAGGTTGCTGACAGGGCTGTCAAATCCGCTCCAAGTTCCCTCTGATTTGCTCCCCTGCGGGCCGCCCTCTTTCGTGTTTGGGTAGCCCGTGTCGTTCTCCTCTACGTGTCCCTCTGGCTCACGACAGTTTTTCCCATTCTGCAGCTCCTTGGGGATCCCTGTAAGGTGGTCCCTGCTCTGTGCGTCCGGAAGGTTCCCCAAGACAGGGACAGGGCACAGCTTGTCTGGCTGAGGCAGAGGGCCACGATTTGGGCTGGACTGCCTCGGAAGCCGTGGGCTCCATTGGAGCTCCCTGCTCTGAGCACTGGCAGATATATGTGCCTCAAACAAGTTCACCTTCTTGTTCACTTCCACGTTCTGCAGCTCACGGCTGCGCTGGAGCTGCTGAGCGGCGCGCCGCCCCACCTCCTCCTGGTCATCCTCTGGACTGGACCCACTCAGTCGCCGCACCCGGGTCCCCACGTTCACCCCCAGCAGGTCAGGCGGGCGGCAGGGCGAGCGTGCCCTTGTGCTGCTGGTGGTAGTCGCCACCGGGGGAAAGACAAAAGCCGTTCCAGAAGAGCCAGGGCTCAAGCTACTAGGGCTGCAGGGGCTGCTGCCCAGCAGTGGGCAGTAAGTGGTGCGGTCCGGCACCGGCAGCACAGGCCTCCCAGTCCGTGGGCTGCTCTTATCAGTCAAGTTATTGGGGTTCATCATGATCAGGCTGTTCAGGGCATAAGCAGCCATAGTAGCAGGCTGGCTCTGTCCATAAGTGCTCCCATTTAGGCCTAGTCATCGACACTGCACTGGCCTCTGCAGCCAACCATCATGAAGTCGGGGTCTTGGAAAGTGGACTTGGATAGCGACACAAGCCGGTGTGCTTCATTCAGTCATTGTATTCCCTGCCGGTACATGAACCCGGGGAAGCTGTTGAGAAGAAAAACAAGGTTATTATAATTTTGCAAGTAGAGTAAAAACACAATTTGGATTCAGAGAGAATTGAGAGGAACATCAGTGGACCAGAGACCAAACCGTTCCAGACTGCTAGCTGCACAATGAACTTTCATTCTGGAACATCTGGATTATAATTACTATAAAACCAGCAGAGATCACTATCTATGACTGAGTGATTAATCATTTTTCTATGAGCTGCCATTTTAATTACATCCTACATTATTTACAGTTGTCTGAAGTTGTAAGTGTAGAAGTTTAACTGAGTACCGCAGAGCCGACGTTCTTTCACTGGCATAAAAACAGCACGTCTGGATCCCAATTTAAAGAAAATAATCACATTTAAAATCCCAATTGAAATACTGGTCAGATTAGATATTTTCCATTACATATTCTCTTCCACAAATCTTTCAGCCCTGAAAAAAAGATTTAAGCAGTAAAAAAGCTGGTATCAAATATCTACAAAATGAAAGCAAACATGATCCGCAGACGGTCCACGAAGTCAAACGCTTGGTAGATCCTCACAAAAATCCCTCAGGAGTCACACCGTCTCCTGAATCTCACCCTAAGCAGCAATTCACCCCCTAAATATTGGAGGTAATCGGCCATGCATTGCTGAATCAGTAAAGGAGGAGGTCCTCAAGTTTCAGAGCCACAGCATAACGTATCCTGGATAAAACCTCCCAATTGTTGGCAAAAATACACACAGATCTCACCAAGAACTGAACGTTTTTTATGTAATTGAGCAAAACAGAAAAAATATTAATAAAATGCTGAAGCCTCATAAGAGGAAAATAACATTAGACATGCTTTAATACTTCAGACCTTTAGCCTAACAACTGTACTCTACCCAACCAGAAGCTTGGTGAAACTGAGATACATATACAGCATTAATTACTCTTGAGTTACACCACACCAGAGGAAATGTCACAAACCACCAAAGCGATTAAGAAAAACCGTGAGGCCTCAGCTCCACTGATGCTAAACATTCGGGGATTAGAGTTAAGGCGAAACGAGCCGAGTGGAACCCATTAGCGATTCCCATTTATGGGAAAAAAGTCAAGACAAGGAGAGATTTGAAATTTGATTAACTGACACTCCTTGTGATCCGTCGTGGATCACAGGAAGCACAAGGAGTCTTTTATATTTCAGACTGTACAGTGCAGTCTCGTTTAATAGGAAAAAACAGGTCCAACACCCGATGTTATGGATCATGGCACATGCTGTGTTGCTTTAATACAAATAATGCATTCATCCTAAACATGTGCTATGGCTACACACTTGTAGCAGCTGCCCCGCCGTGTGTCAGCGAAGGCGACTGCTTCCAGGGAACCCAAATGGAAAATGACAGTCAGCAAATTACAAACGAATCTGATTCAAATGTATAACCCACAAAGATTGAACCTGCAGCCCTGGCATTGCATAAAGCCCAAAAGTAAAGAGACAAAAAAACAAGAGGGAAACACAAAGCAGCCTCTCGTCTTACACTGCATGGCATGCTGGCAGTATATTCGTCCATATGCCGTGTAATAATTGCCACCTCTTCCTTTCCAGCCCTTTAAACAGGTTATTCTCACCAATCTAGAGTAGATAGCTACTAAAGTACTGGTCTAGTGTTGGTCAGTTATACCTCAACATTTTAGCTCCACGAAGAATAACAATCGACCGTGAGATTAAGCAAATTTAATGCAATCATGTCTACACTGTTAGGATCTGTGCAGGTACATTTTTCGTTCATCAAGGTACAAACAGTGTAAATGTTCCCACAAAGCTCCAACAGTGGTTCTAAGGTCTGATTGTGAAACTTAAATAGGTTTTTCCAGGAGAAAAGTTCGTATTTGTACCTTTTCATAACCGAATGTTTTAAACAGAACAGTAAAATAAAAGCCTGGAGACGAGACGGGGTGTGTGGAGTCAGTACAGCTTAGAACATATCATTTCAGTGGATTATGGTTCAGTTATGTTCCCTGACTAAAGGTACTGAGATGGACCCTCGAGGGTTCCACCCCAGTGACAAGAGGGGAACTGCCCCAGTGACAGTTTAGCACCTTTATTTCTGAGAGTGTACAAAATAGGGTTATGCCTGACAGAATGCTGCCTCATATTACGCTGCAAATGCACTTGTACAATGTCAGAAGCTGGACCTGATGCTCAGTCACCATTTAGGGTTGTGCTGTATGGAGCAGCATATAAAATAATACAAAGAGAGTCAATAAACACGTGGTGACTCTCTTACCCGAGGCGGTGGGTGTTAATATCCTACCTTCACCAGCGAGTGTGTACAACATGAATGAACTGGTGCAGATGAATGCAAAGAGTTTCCAGTTTCAGAAACAACAACGTCTCGCCTTTTTCTCAAAAACATGTGGTTAGAAGTTTGAAAGAATACAACATCCGATGCCCACCTCGCCAAGCAGAAACGTATTCGGATGCAACAATAACAGAGAGCAAAGTCGATATTTAGGATACTCTACGGTTTACATCCATGTGTCTGTTGCTAATATTGATTTTTATGCGTTATTTTAGTAAAACAGTGACGTATTATCGCTTTATTACACAGACGTTTGACCAAAGCTGCATTATTACATTGTCATAAAGCATCTATTAGCTTATTTATCTTCTCCAAACTCCAGACTCGACGTCTTAGTTTAAGCTGCGGCATTTCCCGTCGACTAAAGGCACCCAAAAAAGACTCGTTTCTGTCTTAAAAGTGCTGGTTTGTTCGTTAGAGGCTGTAGAGGAGTCAGAAAAAGAGACTCACCGTGTTTTTGACCAGCGTGGAGCGTCTGGTCAGTAACCGTCAGTCACTCTCCCTTTCGTAAATAAACACAAACCCACGTCTCAGTCTGAGCGCCGTACTTCGAGTCTTTACTGCGAACTTGGTGAGGTTATACTCGCTCCAGGTCCGGTGTTATAAGGCAGATGTGTCGTTGTGCTCCTCTGCAGTTCGCTTCGAGCGCTCGGCTACGTTTGGTTTAACGTACAAAGAAAAAACGCAGGAAGGAAGTTGAGCTGCCAGCCGCTGTGAATGCAGAACAGTGTCTCTCTCTGCTTCTCCACAAACACCGGCCTCAGAGGGACGAGCCTTCAGTCCGCAGCTCGCCCAGCTCTCAAACAACTCAGCACAACAGACGCGAACTGAAACTCACAGGGACGCTGTCCCGGCCCGGGTTAAGCCCGAGGTTAGACTCTTGTGACTGGCCTGCATGGTTACCTTCAGCCCTCAGTGGTGCAGCTGATTTGAAAGCATAACATAGAATTACCTTACTTTACCTCTATTATAGTTTATCTAACTAATCTAGGTTTTCTGTAAGAATGCAGGTATGGAAATACCTTTAATGCTCAACTAAAGAGCAGGAAAGTCTGAAGAATTCAATTGTTGAGATGTAAACTCAACAGAAAAGGGTGGATGTGAAGTGGTTGACATTAGCCATGTTATTTACAGTCTGAAACCACCAGTGAACCTACACGAGTCTTCTGAGTGTGTGTTTGTGTGTGTGCGTGTATGTATATATATATATATTTATATATGTGTGTATCTATATATATATATATATTCATATTTTTTCAGTTTTTGACATTATTTGAAAATGCATGTTGCCCTTTACATTGTGTGTAAATTTCATGATGAATGGACCAAAATAAATGGTCCAAAATGACTTGGAAAAAAGTCTGGTTCCATTGACTTACATTAAAAGTAAAGCATGTTTTTTGCTTCTCCTGTAAAGTTACCAGTTTGGAGATACAGCGGCATATATACACTTATATACACTATAAATTGTTTTTCTTTGGGAACTATTTTGCCTTATAACGCTGCATGTTCTGCTCTGCAATGAATAGGTTTAAAAATGATGCTTTAGGCCAAAGTTTTATCCCAAAACTATAAAAACAAAGCTGTCAAAACAATGTCTCGGGCATCTTGCCATGATTACATAAGCATTTAATTAAAAAGCTTTTAGAAGCTTTTAGGACTTCTGGTTCCTACCACTCTTGTGGCTTAAGTGTCTCTAAAACGGCACATTTTACATCAGACCACACCGAATCACTTTGTTTACGTCTTGATAATGTGTTTATACAGACTTTTTGATCAGTCAGTGGAAGTCCTGTGTTCCTATTAGCCAACCAAGACATGATCACTCAGGTGTCTGTGATATTGATTACCTTCAAATGATAACCCGAGTCCGTTCCTGTCAGACGTTTGTCAATCAGAAGTTGTTGATGAACAGTGGAAGCCTGATACCAGTGCTGTTTGCATTGCCTGTGTTCTTGTTGGTGATGTAAAAACAGAGGTTCTTACCATAAAGCCAAGATGATATCGCTTTGTTTTTGTTTCCCTTGAGACAAAGGAAATGTGTCGCCTGGATGACTTAAGTGAATGGAAAATACTATGCTGTAGTGGCCGCTCTGATTTGAATGAGACTGACTGGCTGATAGGTAGTATGAAAATTAATTTTCCATGTCCCGGGACGGGGGCCATGACCTAAGTGCAGACTCAGCGAGGGGAAGATCTTCTTTCTTCAAAGCACAAAACATCCCTCAATGTTTCCAAGAATTTCCTGTATTCAGCCGAACAAAACAACTAACTTGTCCTACTGTGAAGACGCCTCGTATCTCCACCCGGAGAGCTTTAATACTGACCTTTCAAACCAATAAAACTAGATGACGTGTTGGGATCGTCTTCCAGGAGAACTCTTTTCTTCAGTCAGTCATCGACAACACATGACTGTCACTCAGTAAGTTCATGACTGTCTATGTTTACACAGAAATAGGTTACACCACAAAATAGTCTCTCAGTGATGAGCCGCACTGAGCCGTCTTTTAGCTGGAAGCTGATGAAGTTTAGATAATGACAAATCATTTGTGGTTTTTTCATCTCCGTGACTAAACAAATTCCTCTGCTTATATATGAAAATGCCTCAGGACGGTTTAATCGAGAGGGAAAGAAGGTCGTGGCCAATCTGCAAAACATAATTGACCTGCAGTTCTATTTATTTAAAGGTGAGCTGGTGGGAAAGGATTGCATTATATTTGCTGGGATTGCCGCCTGAAGCTGTACGGCCGGTTTGCCTTTTCATTCACATGTGATACTGATGTTTAGCCAAGGTGTGCCCCTCTCCAGAAAAGCAGTGACCACTTCTTCAAACATTGCAGGGCAGGACATGCAATTAGGACAGAGCAGAGGAATGATGCAATCAGGAATCCACCCGAGATAAAACTGTCAGACCCACACACAGGCTGAGGTGTGTGGAGCAGTAAACAAACAATGACACACTGTGCCGGGTGTTCCTGCAGGTATGGATAATGGACAAGAGGCAATGCCAAAAAATGGTGGTTTATATGGACAATCTGTCTTCACTGGACTCATAAATAGACTTTTAATAGAGGAAACCAATGAAGACTTGAAGCACTTGAACGCCATTGGCTTCCACAGATCATGAACGCCACCTGCTGGTAGACCTGGAACAGTAACACTGCCTACGTGTGTGTGTGTGTGTGTGTGTGTGTGTGTGTGTGTGTGTGTGTGTGTGTGTGAGAGTATTGGTATTGCGCTTCTGTTCCAGGTGGCGTTTTATATACACACACACATATATATATATATATATATATATTTTATATACACTGAAATCCCACAGTTCTGGATAAGCCATCAGCCTGTTGCAGGGATCTGTATTTTACTTGAAAGTGTTTCCAGGTCTACAAGCAGGTGGCTCTATATATATTTATATGTATAAAAAAATACACACAAAATATATATATATATATATATATATATATATATATATATATATATATATATATATATATATATATATATATATATAAACATATATGTGTGTGTGTGTATATATATATATATACACATTGTGAGTTCAGCTTCTTTTATTATAAGGGTTTAAAATTACATCACCCATCTATTTGACTGGAAAGAACACAGTTACAGCCTCATACAACACCCACCTTTTGAATGTAGCTTATGAAATATATGTATATATATATATATATATATATATATATATATATTCATATTTTTTAGACAAAAAAATGTGAGTTCATATATATATATATATATATATATATATATATATATATATATATATATATATATGTAATTCCACATTGCTGGTTAAACAATCAACCTGTTGCAGTGATCTGTATTTCACTTGAAAGGTTTTTTTTGTTTGTTTGTTCGTTTTGTTTTTTTAAAAATCGTCTTTTACCAGTAGATGGCAGCAAAGTGTTACAAACCTTAAAAAGACTTACACATGTATTTACTTAATAACACTTACATAAACATTACATTATCACAGTCCAGTTATTTGAGTACTTTTGTTGTTTTTAAGTAGTCACAGATTAAAATAATACATATATTATATAAGATTAGTTAAGCCTAATATATAGCAGCATAACAGGGCTGCTCAAAGTGTGGCCCACAGGTCAAAGTTGGTCCATGAAGCGTGATTATCCCTCACCTAAAAAGAGAACCTACATATTTTTATACTAGATGCAACTTATTAAATCAGTTCTTTGTTTAAAGTTGTATTTTGTACAGAAAAAAAACCTTCTTGATTTAACCCCTCCCAGGGCAAAAGTTTGGATCCCCCTGCAATAGGGGCTTTCAGTTCAAGATGTTTATATAGTTTTTCATATTATCTTTCATATAAAATGTCAGATGGTGTTTAAAGGGAACAAAGTTTGGTCTTTGGCTGGAAAATCTACTACAATAAATGAAACAGAAACTTAGGCAGGGTTTAAACTAACTGGTCAAGAAACAGCTACTCAAAATCATAAAACCTCCCACACCTTATTTACACCAGGTGACTTTCTAGCTAAGCCACGTTGTTTTCCAACCTTTGCCAATAATGAGATCAGTGCAGTAGAACAATGCTGCTGGTTTAGAGACTCTTTCTGTAAACAGAGTAACTAATACATAGATTAGCAGGCTTTAGCTGAGCAAAGGCACTTATTGCCAATAGGAATGGCTTTTCTGAAACCACAGCACAATATTTCCTTGTCATGATATTATAACAGTTTTGAGGGTCTAGACGAGGGGTCAGCAACATGAGGCTCCGGAGCCACATGCGGCTCTTTTACCGCCCTGTTTTGGCTCCACAGCTGAATTAGATTTGTAGGTAAAAATAAAATAATCCTCCTTTACAGTAAAATAAAGCTCTGCTGATCATTCAACACAGTTTAACAATAAATGGTCTTAAACTCTGGAGTTAATGTAGAACACCCTTTAACCCTGAAGATCAGCGCAGACTGCTGGTCACCATAGCAACACAGACAATCTCTCCTAGCTAGTAGCTAACGAAATGGCAAAAAGAAAAACGTAAGATGAAAATCAATAATTTGCAGCCGAATGCACTCATTCGCATTTATAAACACTCAGTTTTCCTGATATGTTTGATCTGCAACGAGAAACTGTCAAACTCTAAAAGTCACGAGGCTGAAAAAAGTAGTGAAGCTTCTCATTCACCAGCTTCTTATTTGAATTTTCCCGTTCCACCTTAAATGGCACAGCAGTTACGTTCTGGCACCATTTAACCTTTTCAACTCCTTCGAACCACTGTTGGTTCCAAAACGCACTTCGTCCTATTCTTCATAACTTTCATATTTCATAAGCTACATTCTAAAGGTGGGGGTCGTATGAGAGCTGTAACTGTCTTCTTTCCAGTCAAATAGATGGGTGATGTAATTTCAAACCTTTATAATAAAAGAAGCTGAACTCACAATTTTTCCACAAATCTGGGCTGTAAACTATAAACAGATGGCGTCTCTTCAGTGATCTGCTCTGTAAACATTATTTCTATAAAATAATACAAAGAGCGTCTAAGATTTTTGGCTTTTGGCAGTAAATTGTAGGCATATAGCGATATGTGTATCATAAAACACACGTTCTGTTAATTTGAGGGGAGCTTTTACAAAAAAAAAAAATAAAATAAAAATGTACGTTTATTTCATGCAGTTACTGAATAATTTACCTTACGATTTGGGCATGTAAATTCAGATGGAAAAAACAAAATATGCCCTGGAGAATAATTAAGGTGGAACGGGAAATTTGAACAAGAAACTGGCGAATGAGAAACGACTTCAGCCTCAAAAAAAGTCGAATGTTGAGAGTCATTTTACAAAAACTGCACTACTTTTGAGGAAAAGTTTCCTGCCAGAGATGCGAGAAAAGCGGCTGTAGCTGAGCTAAAGCTTAAAGCAGAGCAAAGTCACTCTGTGCTTTTGTTTATATTATATTTTTTAGCTTATTCTAGCACATCAGCACAGACTGAGACAGATTTAAAGCCAAGATTCAAGATTCAAGAGTTTTATTGTCATATGCACAGCAGAAACAGGCAGTTACACTGTACAATGAAATCTTACTTTGCTGTTCCTCCATTCACCAAATATAATCTTAATATGATCTTAGAATAAAAAATTGAAAAATAGAGAAAAAAAATAGAATATATAAAATATAAGAATAGCACTGAAAACAAAAGTAAAGTACAGTTATGTGAGCAAAGTTGAAGAAGATTAAAGTTACATGTGCGTAGTGCAAGTATGTAGAGCAGCGCTTCATAAAGTGCATTAACAGATGTAAACAGTAGTGTTCTGACATCAACAGTGTATGTAAGGTGCAGTTATTGAGTGAAAAGTCGGCCAAAAGTTAAACCAGTTCAGAGTGGGAGGGGGGAAGAGGTAGTGTGTGAGGTGTTCACAAGCCTGATGGCCTGTGAATAGAAACTGTTCGTCAGTCTTGTAGTCCTGGACTTCACACTCCTGTAGCATCTGCCTGAAGGTAGGAGTGTGAAGAGTCTGTGCTGGGGGTGTGTACGGTCCCTGATCATGTTGTGGGCCCTCCTGATGACCGTGGTGTGATAAGTGTCCTGTAGTGAGGGGAAGGCTGCTCCTGAGATGGACTGTGCAGTGTTGATCACACGCTGGAGAGCCTTTCTGCCCTGAGCAGTGCAGTTTCCATACCAGACCGTGATGGAGCTGGTAAGAACACTCTCGATCGTACTCCTGTAGAAGGTGCTGAGAATTTTGGCTGGCATGCCAGATTTCCTCAGCCTTCTCAGAAAGTACAGTCGCTGCTGGGACTTCCTGATGATGAGGTGTGTGTTGTGAGACCGGGTGAGATCCTCACTGATGTGGATGCCAAGGAATTTGAAGGTTTTCACCTCTGTCTCACCTATGTACAGGGGTGTGTGTGGTTCTGTGTGTAGAGCCCAACAATCATTTCCTTGGTCTTGTCTGCATGTACAAAGTGCACCTTCAACGCAAAGTATAAGTCTAAAATGTTAAGATGTAAACCTTTGTACGTTCCATGATATAAACATAGAGCTTTCTGTACCTCTAAAGCCAATAATGTCTCTTTAAAATGGACAGTTAAAATGTTGTGGCTCCCAAGCTGGTTTGATTTTTGCTGAAAGGACAAAACGGCTCTCCTTAACATTTGGGTTGCGGCCCCTGGTCTATACGTCAGCTGAGCTCAGTACTTTAAGTACTTTCAGTATGTGACGTGTCCGTTTCTGATAAGTAGCGTTCCGGCGCGTTAAGGCTGCGGAGGCCCCGCGTTACGGGTTAAAACCACTGCGCCTGTTCCTCAATCAAGACACGCCCTTTAAATCGGAACGCCCGGTGTCATTGGTGGAATGACGCGCGAAAGGGAAAAGGTGCGTCATTTTTCCCCAGATAACAAACCAATGAGAGCTCCTGAATCAGTTTGACAGGCAGCGTCGCCTCCGCTGATCGACCAATGGCTGGCCTGGGTGGGCGGGACCAGGACGTGCAGACAGTCACAGAGTTAGTAAACATCGCTCCTCATGGTGCCTCAGCAGAGACACTGAAGGGGAAGGCAGGGCGCGGAGCGCGGCTTAATACTAGCAAGTAGAGGAGGTGAGTGTCGGTTTTATCCCATGCTAAGGCTTTTAATGCAGTTATTCTAGATGTTAGGAGAGTTTGAAGGCAAACGGAGGACTGGAAATAAGTCGTGTTTGGTCGGGAACTGGACGAGGCTGCGTCCTTCAGCGCGTTAGCTCCCTGTGCTAACCCCTCAGCACTGACCCCTCAGCGCTAACCCCTCAGCACTGACCCCTCAGTGCTAACCCTCAGTGCTGACCCCTCAGCCGAGCCTCACTCTCAGTTCTCCTCTTCACCTTTAACTACACAAGTGATTCGCAGAGGTGTAAAATTCATAGTCCAGAAAGTATAAAATCCTTCCCAGGATTTCGTTCCAACCGCCTGGACAGCCCCGCTGGTGGTTTAGTCTAACGAGAGAAGCCAGGCCGTTGGAACAAAATCCTGGGAAGGATTTTTACTTTCTGGACCTGAATTTTACACCTCTGGTGATTCGATACTCGCTTAAGCGTGTAACGTCAACAATTTTGTTCAACTCCATCTGTTTGTTAGTTTTACTTTACACGTGGCTCGTATTTGCGACAGACGTTTATTAATTCCTGACTTAATGCCTCGCGACCGTCTAGGACTAAGTTCGTGTTTGGACGTGTTTCTGAGCAATGGAGCTAACGGTCAGGTGGCCACGTGTCCACGCAGGCTGTGGCCACCTATGTAGTCATACATTCATATTTAGTATCACTACTAATGTTAAACATGTGCATAGTTGGCTGTATTATTTCCATATGGCGCCTATAGGCGTTTGGACGTTTATAAACAGTGCGTGTTTACATAAATATGTATGTGCGCATGCGTTTCCGCAGGATTAGACTGAGCAGAGTGAGTAAAGGAGGTCTGTCTGCTCATAAGGGCTCCCATCAGATTACCAGAGCAGTTTTATCGCTGCAGAAGTTTTGCAAAGTTTGCCCAGTAATGCTGTAGCTGCAAGGCCAGTTCAAGGAGAGATTGTGGCACGGGTGACTGCCTGTTGTTTTGTATGTCAACACAGAGAAAGAGAGACATTATTGGCTTTAGAGGTACAGAAAGCTCTATGTTTATATCATGGAACGTGCAAAGGTTAATGCCAGATAGAAACAGAAAATCTTAACATTTTAGACCCAGACTTTGTGTTGAAGGTACACTTTGGGCTTTATGACCATGGAGGTATTTAACAAAGCAGAATCAGCTTGGCGATGTAAATAAAACCCAAAGTCAGCCCTGGCCAATCGGGACAGAGCTGAGAGACAGACAGCCCTCAGCTTTTAGCTGAAGTGATTTATTAACACACACAAACTAGTAGTTAGCTGAGATTAGTTTTCTTCCAGTTTCATAAGAAATATGAACATGGCTCAGGGTGAAAGAGCCCAAATTTATAAGACATTTATAAATGCTTTGAAATTGTTGTTTGTTTTGTGGTTATAACGGTGCCGGAGGCCAGTATTGGCCCATAATCAGGTCAGAAAGTTCATGTCAGAGGAATTGTGTACCCACACCACGCTGCTGCCGACACAAACAGTGAGCATGTGGTTGAAGCCTGCAGGTACATGTGCTGTGAAAGTGTGATGGAGGTTTTTTTTTTTTTTCAGAAGGCATTGAATTGCAAATGTACAGGCAGGTCAAAACAAGCTGATTTATGAGTGAATATCAGTGAAGACTATAAGTGCCCTTACTTCCTTCTTGCAAGTGCACTGTTGTCAATAGGGATAGCCAAACTACACTATCTGGCCATACATCTACAAGTACACTAATCTGGCTGTATGAAAACAGGAAGAAGAGGGGTGTTTCTCCTCACGTGCACTGTGATTGGCTGTTGAAGTAGCGTGGCCGTTTGGTTCCCCCAAACAAGCGTGACCCCTGGATGATTGCCCACTGGGTTTCCTCTGTCTTGTGAGACCCATTTCCGCATGGCCTGTCACTCCACATCGCCTCTCGACACAAGACAACACTAACCTAAATGATGACATGGCTGAATGGCTCAACGCTGCCTACTGTCAGACGTTTGACGTTGTGGTGTCTCGTTTCATGAGGAGCACCTATTGTTTGGCACCCACGTCACCATCGCCTGCAAAACAAGAGATTTTTTCTATATCTAGGGCTGAAAAGGAAGAATGTGTCTGGTTGCCTGAGTATTTAGATTGGCTGCATTGCTGCATACGTTGCACATGGCATCACAGTGCTGTCCTGAGTGATTGTTAATCCTTTTTTAAGGCGTGTTCGGTCACGCCGCGTCTCCAGATGTAAAGATGACTGTAGCGCATTGCCCTGCCACCATGATTGTTCAGGAAGTGGGTGTACAAAGGCTTGGTTACACAAGTAATGGACTGAAAAGATGAAGGCTAGACTTTCACTGGCCTAAAGGAAGTGATTCATGCTAGGAACCAGAGAACGTGTAGAGAGGAGAATTCTCTCTCTGCCATGTCTCCCGGGTTTCACAGACGCTAGAGGGCAAGTTCAAAGTGAATGGGTTGATATGGAGCTTTTGAGCAAAATCGTAGTTTATAAATGCTTAAAGATTTTTAATGTAAAATAATTCATTTGTTCACATTTAATACACAAACATTTTAACACTGCTGTTATGTTTTTAAGAGCTTTTAAACTCGAGTTATAGGAGTTTAAAACGGCGCCTCATGTATGTTTATGACATCAGTGAGCGCGAACAGCCAATGAGCTGCTCCACTCGCAAACCGATCAGCAGTCAGTATCAGTAATGCTAACCGATCAGCACTCACTATCAGTATTGCCCGCCTTCTGCTGCCCAAAACCTGTTTGCTGTAGAAAAAAGGAAACATACAGGTGAGATTTCTTCTTTCTTTTAGTGAAATTCATCCTTCTGCTGTCTAAAATTAAAGGAAAGGTCCGGGCGAGGGATTAGAAACTATTTTAACTTTTTGTTTTTAGCTGTTTAGCTCCATTTACTCCCATTCATTGAGGACTCCCTCGTGGGCGCTCTCTGCTGTTTAGCAGTCCTGTTTTTGATATAATGGGGGGAAATAGGAAGTGGCCAGACTTCTCATAAACCGGCTCTGCTAGGAACCCAAATGCTACTGTCAAATTTAACCTTGACTGCTAAGGTGGGCTGTGTGACAGTGTTTGTTGTTATCGTCATAAATCAATATCATCACATTATGTGAAAAAATGACTTCGTTACTAAGAGAGCATAATTAGTAGGGATACATAATGATAGCGGAATCATATTGGTATCAGGACAGGTGTTTAGATTTGACCGATATTTGAAGCCTTTATTATTTAAAGCAGATAATTTAGCACATGTATATGTATATGTATGTGTGTGTGTGTGTGTGTGTGTGTGTGTGCACTTTGTAGTTCTACAGTTACAGACTGTAGTCCATCTGTTTCTCTGCATACTTTGTTAGCCCCCTTTTACCCTGTTACACAGCAGTGCTGCTGGAGTCCAAACTGGACTGATTCACTCAGACCAGCGCAACACACACTAACACACCACCACCACGCCAGTGTTACTGCAGTGCTGAGAATGACCCACCACCCAAATAGTACCTGCTCTGTGAGGATCATATATATGTATGTATGTATGTATGTATGTGTGTGTGTGTATATACATGTGTGTGTGTGTGTGTGTGTGTGTGTGTGTGTGTGTGTGTATATATGTCTTATGGATACTAGACTATACTAGCATTAGTTTTGCCATATTGGTTTTGATGAAATGTGTGAAACTTTGAATTAAAACCTCTATTTATAGTCTTTGACAGTATTTTTTAAATGTATTTCTTTTTTTTCCCAACTTGTCAAATCTCACAAAAATCAAACGTTGTAATGCCTGCTGTTTTCACATATATCTTGAAGTCTTGTGTAAAAGCGTTGTTGTGAAAATGCCGAGAATAGTTAAAGGAAAAAATGTATCTGGCACAGAAAGGATCTGCGTTCGCTGGCAGGACGGCAGCTGCCGGCGTGATGTTGAAGCCACCCAGTGCTTTATTGAGTTAGTCCAGCCCAAGCAAGATGAAGAAGCTCAAGTCACGTGTATCAGGCTTAAATAAGCCCTTGCAGAGCCCAGTAACGCTCACACTCACAGGAATGCCTCTGTCTTTTTACAGCTAAGCTAATTTTGCATTTATCGAGAATGAACTCGCGTTACTGAGCTCTGATTCGGCTTTGAAGCTGGAGTGCATGTAATCTGGTGGAAACTCATCTGGAGCACTGAAGCCTGTTTCTGGCAGAGCCTCTGATCTCGAGTCTTGTCAGACACTCGCTGCGTGATGACCTTATTTCCACTGTGGTGAAAAGCTGCGTAAGGCTTTGAAAGTCAAGCATTGCATCTCACAGCGCTTCTAGTCTCAGCAGCCAGCTTGAATAGTCTAGAATAAAGTGGTCAGTAGAGAAGAGCGGGGCACAAACTAACGCGGGGTAAAAAGTGACATGGATAAATTCAGGTTAAAACCAAATGTAGTCATGTCCTCACTTTATCTTAGTAACATCACTGCTGAATTTTGACAGCAGTTGGACAGATATTTATTGAGATTCATACTGAAGATCCTGGTTTGTGACATAAAAGGATTTGTTTTTGGATTCCTGAGATTTGTGCGCACAAGTAAAGCTAAAGGAAGGAACTATTTCCTAAAGGAAACACTGGGACACGGGCACATCTCTCTATATAAACGCAGAACCGTCCAGTTCTGCCCTCAGTTTAATCAAAGATGTTCTATAGATGTCATGTAAATAAAACATAATTCAGTTTTAATATGCAAGTATTTGCGGTTCTACTTTGTGGTTGAAAGTAAATTTGCCGCTTTTATAGCCTGTGTATGTATTTAGGTTGGCAAGCTTGTCTAGTTTAAACAGCATGGAACCATATTGAATTAACTGCATTGCATCGCTTTTATGTGGGCAGTCGTGGGCTGGAGGTTAGGGAGCCAGCCCTGTGAACAGAAGGTCACGGGTTCGATCCCCTGAGCCGACAGTACGTGACTGAAGTGCGCTTGAGCAAGATACCTAATTCCCAACTGCTCCCTGGGCGCTGTGGATAG